AATTTTGTAAAATTGAATTGTAAATTTTATGTTATATTAAAACTTATTTTTTTTTATAAAAATAATTTTTTATTTTATACTGCCTGTAAAATAAATAGTAATGCTATTAAGGCTATTCAAAGTTAATTTTTTGGTTAATATCACCACTCTTCTAATGACTTCTCGTAAAACAAACATAAAAAAAATAAAATATTATCAAGAACAGAGTACAAAGTACATTTAACAGCAAGTAAAAGGGTATATTTGAATCTGTAAATCTGATTGGATTGCTTTTTCTTATGATCTTGGCGCAACAATATTGCATTTAGTATTACATATTATGATACTTTCAAATTTGTCAGTATTTTGATTGTATTAACAAGTTTTGTATCAATTAAAGTGAAGGATGATTAATGCTTTTTTTATTGTTATTGTTTTTTAGAATTAAGCTAACCAAATACTAGATAGTCTTCAAAGCTGTTAACAGCTTATTCTGAAGTGCTGCACAATAGAGTCAAGCTGTCCAAAGTCAATGAGCTACAACTTAAGCTATGATATTGCAACTTTTAACTATCGCTATGACTCAGCATCAAATCTGAATATTCATACTATTTATGGATATCCGAATACTTAACCAAATAGATCTCAATACTAAAGTTTAATAATTATTCATTGGTCTAATTAGTCTAAATATTTAATATAAACTGTTTAGTCCCATTTAGCTTCCTATTCATATTGGTTTGTATAATTATCATCTGCCAATAATATTTCTAAATTATGTACAGTATAGGGTATGAATAGCTCTATTTTTAATATCGGTTCTTGTGCTATATATTTTATTAAGGTTAGTATTAGAAAATTGTAGTAGATTGTTATGTTATGATATATTTTTTAAAGAGATATTTACACTCTATACTATATATATCTAAAAATTTTATAGAATTTTTTGTTTGTTTAAATTATATAGTTATGCTGTATATCTAATATTTATTTATCTGAATTCAAAATTATAACTTATATAACTATTTTGTATTAGATTGGTATTTTCTTAATGAAGCTAATATTCATCTGTTCTTGGTTTAGCATAATAATATTTTGCAATTAATTAAATTATATTATGATTAGAAGATATTGCAGATGGATACAAAATTCAATTTGTACTATACATTTTGTTTCACTGCATTCTTGGTATTACTATTTTCAAATTATTGTAACAAATAAATTTTGTGAATCCAATAAATTTTATGAAGATTTGTCAGATTTACAAATTATTTTTTATACTAATTTGAAAATAGTATCTATACTAAGCTTGCAGCTATGTAAACATGTTAATCGTATCTATATGTATTTCTATAAGTTTTATTTGGACTTATTTTTCTAATACTTATCCAACTTTAAATTAAAATTAGACTAATTTTAGCTAGTAAAGAAGTAATTTTTAGAAAAATAGGTAATGCTAACATTACAAATACATATATAATATTTAATTGCACGTTTGCAAATTACACATTCAAGAATATTGCTTTTTTTGTTTGTCACTGTTAATCGAGAATCCTTAAACTATTCAAAATTATTTCAGAGACTCTATATGAAATTGAAAGTAGCAAAATATTTGGAGATCTGTTATATCTAGCTGATAATGAATATAAGCTAAATAAAATAGTTAGAGTCGAGGTTCGCTATTCTAGAAGCAATCAATATCATTTTTATACATCTGGAGTAGAAGGTAGTTTATATACTTGTGAGCCATGTTTGTAAAATATTTCTTATATACGATTTTTTATTAGTGATTCTGCTAAACTTTTTGATAGTCAATCAAATATATTTAGTAATAATGAGAATATATTTGATTTAATAATGAATAGTGCACAAGAAAGAAAACTTTCTTCACTAAAAGATAACAATAATAAGAGAAATCAATTATTTAATAAATAGTTTATATAAAATAGACTGTGGGTAGTTTAATAGAAATGAAGCAACAATAGGAGAAGTATTTTTAAATCAACTTTCTGCACTCATTTGATATATTGATGAATACTATTCTAAGTTTTCTGATCGTAACTTATACTTTTTTGATTTTATTAGAGAGTCAATGCCATATAAAAATAATTAATTTTATAAAAAAGATTCATATCACAAAAAGGATTATTAGAATGAACTAAATTAGAACTTTATATTAATACTATTAAAGAATCATTAGATTAGCTATAGGCTAGTAGTATTACTTGGAGACCTTTTATATCACAAGTTCATTAGTTTATTAGTACTATTCAAAAATATATTGAATATCTTGAAAATATTAATTAAAGTGTTATAATAACTAGAAATACAATGAATTCTGCCTGTAATTCAATAGATAATAGTACTATTAAATTAAATGTTAATGAAGTCAAAGAACAATATCATGAATTAGCAACTATAGTAAAAAATTCAAATGATTATAAAGTTATTTCAATTGATAAATATTTATCATTGAATTGTAATCAAAGATATAAATTTATTACTAATTTAGCCTTAGATACTACTATAATATTATATTGATATTATTATGAAAACTATCTTAGAACCTTAAATTTTATATGGCAAATACCAATTGACCCAAATATAAGATCTAAAAATTTGCAATCACAAGCTATTATTAATATTCAAAATAAGTTGCCAAAATATTTTACAAGAGCAATGCATAAAAATATATTTGCAAAGATATAATTTATATAAATTTATAATTTAAATGTATATTAATTTTTTAATTATTTTAAATAGTATTCCTTATTAAGTAAAATTACACCTCATGTTTTATTATTATTGCAATATGATTTAACAGAAGATATTAATATATCAGAAAATTTTTAATTTAGAGAATTAAATGAATGTCTTAGATTAATGCTTAAAATTAGAGACCCAGATATTTTAGTAGATTTAAGAATTAATAATAGCTTTAAAGTACTAAATTTAATATTTTTTGAAATAAACTAAAATTATATTTTAAAGAGGTAATATTTAAAAATTAATTTATTAAATGTGATAGATTAAAATGAAATCAGATTAAACTAAAATTTTTTTAATTTTTAAGAAAAATTTAAAATTTTTTGAAAAACATTTTTTGGGTTCTTTTAGCATTAGGGTAGGGTTTAGAGATTATTAAAAAAAAAGTATATGTGAGTTTTATAAGCTTTAAGAGTGAGCAAGAGAGGTTTCCAATTTTATTTTAATTTGATTTCATTTTAATCTGTGATATTAAATATTATAAATTTAATAAAAATTAATTTACTAAATTTATTTTACTATATATTACAAATTTAAACTTTTTAATAAATTTATTTATAATAGAATATCCCAGCAGTTCAAGATTGTAAATTTGGATCAATACTTTATAAGCTATCATTTATTTCTGTAAGTAATACTAAAGATCAAATTGTTACTCAAATTAAAAATAAGTTGCCTAATATAACAAATTTTGATAATATTGCAATTCTTTCTGAAAGATAGATTAGTTATCAATTTCTTTCTAAAAATTCTTGGGCTAAGGCTAGTATAGAATATGTGGGTCAATTTGAAATTAAATATAAAGTTCAAGCATGTCTTTTACAAAAATCACATCCTGATAGTCATTATTGCAGAGCAATTTTTAAATATCTTTGTCATTTTTTAGTAAAATTTAAAATAATCTTGGATTGATTTTTGCTAATAATAAACATAAAATTCTTATAGGAGAAGATACTTCAACTTCAACTGGTGTATGCAATCGTTATTTAGCTATTTCTGCAAATGCAATATTAGTAGCTAATGATCATAATTTTACTAAATTATCTTTAATACTATCTGTAGCAATCATAGCTACAATACCTAATGATTTAATAGAGTCATTTTATAATAGTCAAGTATATATAATATATAAAGATACTATATTTTAACCTAGTATAGCACTCAGACATGCTACTAAATTTTATCAAATTTTAAATAATTATTATGATCAAGATTTATCTGAAATTTTAGCTTTATATACTAATAGTGGGCCAGATCATAGATATACTTATGGATCAGTTCAGATTTTACTTATTTGTTTATTTTTACAAAAAAATTTTGATATGTTAATAGTAGCACATGCAGTAGCTTATCATAGTTGAACTAATCTAGCTAAAAGAATAATATCAATTTTAAATCTTTCATTGCAAAATGTTTCTTTACAACAAGATTCTATGAGTAGTTTATCTGAAAAAACTTTTGCTTTACTTAAAACTTTAGAAGAAATTCACAATGAGACTGAAAATTTTCCTAGTTTAAAAAATAAATTACAAAATTTAATTTCAAATATTTAAACACTTTTAAATATTTGAGCAAAATATTTAAAACTTCATAACAATATTTTTATAACTAGAAGCCTACTACAAATTCTGATGTTAATAAATTGTTTAATGTAAGTATATAATATTATCAAAAATTATTATAGTTAAAACTCTATATTCATTAAAAATTTTATTTATTAATATTTAACTTAAATTTTATTAATTAAATCTATAAAATATTTTAACAATTGATTCTACTTTTAAAAAATATAACTAATAATAATTCTCTTAAAAAACAACAATTATATCAAGAATTTCTTAACACTCATTGTCAAATTAGATCATATATATTTCAAATCAAAAAATATAGAAATTTAGAATTTTGTTTCTGCAAACCAATTAAAATGCCAGATAATGAATTTGAATTATTAATATTTCTTCCAGATCCAGAAATGTCATTAGATAAATTATAATATAAAAAAAAAATTGTTTTAACAAAATTGCAGCTCTGATTAAAAGCAACAAATTTATAAAATAGATTTTTTAAAACTTATTTGGTTTAAAGTTATAATTATTTTTATTTATATATATAGTAGATATTTTTACTATTTAATACTATATAAATATTAATAACTAATTATATTATTTTTATTAGATAATCTGTATTATAAAGAATTTGATAAAATATATCAACAAGAAACAACAGAGCAATTTAAACCTTTAAGTAAAAAATTTAAATCTGAAGAAATTTCTGCAGAAATTTTTGTAAATAATTTTTTTTGATTGTTAGTTGCTTGTGATTTTGTGGAAAGTATCATTGTATATATTCTAAAACTATATTAAATAATGTTGAAATAGAAGCTATTACTCAATATTTTGATAATATAATATATAGTTGTGGATCACCAATTGTTTCAGATGATCATTTTTTTGCTAATACTCTTTATATATATCTTAATTTAATATGCAATTTACCAATTAAGCATAATTACTATTCTTGTAGACTTAAAGATATAGATTTATATTTTTGGTGTGGTTCAGAAGATAAATTACTCAAAATTCCCTCTAATATGCAAGAAAATTAGAAATCAATTTATCTACTTTGTGCATTGTGTTAAATTAAAGGAAAAAATCAGGAGATTTAATTTCCTAAATCGTTTAAAAAAAAAGATCATTAAGATTATAATATTTGATAAAATATAAGCTTAATGATCTATTTTTTTAAAAAAAATCTATACTTAAATTTTATATACAAAATATATATTAAATATTTTATGTTTTATTTATATAATTGGAATTTATATAGTTATGATAAAATTTTAAGTATTTATATCTAAGTTTTTATACTTTATTAAAAAAATAGCAAATAAAGTGGTAATCGATAATTGGCAAAATAAATTAAAATTAAAAATTTTGATTTTATTGTTTAATAATCCTTTTAAAAATTAAATAACTATTGGTTTAGACCACAGATAAACTAGTCTGGGTTTCTTTTCTTGCTATTCTAGGATACAAAATTTAAATAAATTCTTTCTTTGTAAGGTTTTCTTTTCACTGTAGAAGAATTAAATCAAATTTTAATAAAGTTAAAGACATGGTCTCACTATTAATATTCAAAAAAAAAAATTAAATAACTATTAATATATTATAAATTGGTATATTATACTGTAATATACTTTTTTGCTTACTAACAAAATATATAATCTTATATTATTCAAATAAATTCTATTGACAAAATACATAATATTATATATATGCAAGTGTATTCTACTGACAAATTATGTAATATTATATTATACAAATATATTATACCGCAATATACTTTCATATACTTTTTTGCTTATTAACAAAATATGTAATATTATATTATGCAATTTTCTTTATATCAATAAATTTTAGTTTGATATAAAATATATCATGATTGTCCTGAGTTACTTTTCATTCAATAGAGATTAAAAAATAATAGGCATCAATTTATAATCAATAAATAACATATAATATATATTCTGTATAATAAAATTTGTATTATCTTCTTGCTTAAGACAAAAAATATTAATATTAACTAGATAATTAACTTCAAGCAACTCAACTAAAACCCATAGACCAAAATTTAACTAAAAGTTAATTTGTTATAATAGATCTACAACTCTAAAAATCAGTTATTCATTTTATTTGTTCATTTTATTTCTCTGCCAAAAAATCCTAGAAGGTGATATTAACCGAAGAATTAACTTCAAACAGCCTAATAATTGTAGTTAAATTTTTTAAAAAAATTTTTTAAATTTTATATTTAATTTTAAAGTCAATTCTACAAATTTTATATGTTTTACATATAAAATTTTGAATTGTAAACTTCATAATTTTTAAAAACATCAATCCAATTTGTTCAGACCATTAAAATTCATATATTATAAAATAAAATATTGAATTTATATAATATATAAAAGTTAATATTTTTTTATTACCAAAATTTTTTTTAATATGGTTAGTAAATTTCAATTTTTTATATATTTTACTATAAAAAAATGTCAGGCATTACTTTTGGAGGCTACTGTATGTATGTATTTATTAAAATCTTTACGTAGCTAAAAGACATAGCTGATTTTATTATTTATAATAATCTGTTAAAGTGTATATCTAACTAAATGTATATATCAAAATGTCTAGTACTAGTAGTAAAGCCAGTGCTTATTATGCCCAAGTTCAAAAACAAACAGATTATATATCTAAATTATTATTAGTATTGCTCTTATTAAAAAAACACTTTAATATCAGATATATGTGTGTATTAAAGTTTAATTTTTGATGCTGTTAGAGTTAGTGCTTTATATTGATATCAAAGAATCAATTTATGTAGTATGCAGATCAATAAAAATGTGCCTAGCTTTAACAGACCTCTATACAGTATTTAAATATTAAATATGTTATTTTTAAAATGCTATTCATAATACACTAAACTAAATATTATTTATAAATAAAGAGATTCTGACATGTGCTAACGATTATTGTGAGCATTGCTAATAAATACTTGCTAAGCTATTCTATTTATGAAAATATAAATCTTATTATTATCATTATTGCAACAAATACCAAATTATCTTGTTATATTAATACTGTAATAATTTAAATACATATCCTTATGTTTAATAAACCTTAATTATATTTTATGATGGTTCACTTTAATTGGTTCTTTATAAACATCAAATACATAATAGCTGAAAGCTATTTATCTAATTAGTAAATTATTTCATGGTTGAAAATACTTTAAAAGTTTATCTGTATTACAGTATTTTGACACTATGGCATTACAGCATTACAGTACTACAGAATTACTGCATTATGGTATTATGGCACTACAAAATTACATAGCCTATGCTGTTACTATATTAATTTACCAAATTAATTCTACTATCATATAAAGTGATATTTTGATTGTGATACTGGGTAGTTTGCCTGCTATTAAAATAATCATGTAATTTATGTTTAGTGCTATATGAAAATGGCAAATTCTTTTGGGAAAGAGGGCTTGATTGTGAATTAATTGAGGTTAGCTAAGGCTGAATTGGCGATAACTAGTGTAAAATTAAAACTGTGCTTTTCTTTGAATCAGCCTTTTCTCACAGTATTCTTTATTAAGATAGAATTACTATATACAAAAGATTATTTAGAATCATACTCATCCAGTAATCTTGATTATGCAAAATTGGTTCTGTTCAGTTGCTATTTTCACAGGAAACATTACCTCTGCTTAGCCTTTTTAATTTATTGATCTATTGATTTTTTGTCAACTTGGATAAATGGTACGCCTAATTTTTAAAAACTGTGCCAAATCAACTATAATATGTATCATTATGCAACCAAAATTACTATTTCTTTTTAGTTAGCTATGACAATTAGATTTCATAAAGATTACATTTACCTAATTAAAAAAAATTATTTTTTAATTATTATGTATAAAATTTCTCCTTATAATAAAATTATCACCTGTCACAAGAGTACCTAATACATTTTTATCAATTATTTAAAACAAAGTGTGTATTCTCAATTTATGTAAATTATATATCAGTCACAAGATATATCCTTATACAGGGGTTTCTATTGTTGTTACTTATAAATCAAATGAGTTGATACACTAAATTTTATATGTAAAATTTGACAAAAAAATTACTAAAATTTAATTTATTCAAAAAAATACATACAAACCTTTCTTGAAAATTTAAATATATATTCTTTACTATTTTATAATTTTTTGTTGTAAGTCTTGTTTTTTAACTACCAGTAGTTTAAAAAAAATCTTCTACTAAAGTTGATATATTTTTTGTTTTTATAACCCCTGTAAAGTTAAATTAAATAATTGATATATCTAATATAATTATATGATTGGTTAAAAAATCTTTTAAAATTTAAAGAAAATTTTACTAAGCAAAGACTTTTCTGCTTCTAAGTAAAGTTGTAGAAAAGGTTTTTCTGATTCTAATACTAGTTAGATTATCAAAATTAGCTTGGTAGATCCCAAGATACTTGGGATCCACCAAGTCGATTTTGAGATCTAACCAGTATTAGAACTAGAAAAACCTTTTTTACAACTTTACTTAGAAGCAGAAGAAGCTTTTGCTTAGTAAAATTTTTTTTAATTTTAAAAAATTATTTTAACCAATCATATAATTGTATTAGATAGGTCAGACACTTAGAAAATATAGTAAAGAATTGTTCAACTTTAATAGAAGATTTTTTTTAAACTACTGGTAGTTAAGAAACAAGACTTATAACAAAAGATTATAAAATAGTAAAGAATATATATTTAAAATTTCAAGAAAGGTTTATATATATTTTTTTGAATAAATTAAATTTTAGTAATTTTTTGTCAAAATTTATATATAAAATTTAGTGTGTCAACTCATTTGACTTATAAGTAACAGCAATCATTAAGACATGTCCTATGACTGCTATAACCTCTCTCTGGTTAACTAGCGAATCACCAATTAATATAATAATATTTATTATAATAATTTATTTATTTATATTATAAATTA